AAAAGCAAAGGACAAAGAAAAAGTAAAAGGAATAAAACCTGCCAGGGGCTGGTTGCTACAATCTGTAGAAACACCCTGTTCCTTTCCTATGAAGGAAAATGTCCCTTTACTGGCCCATGGAGTTTTGCCTCAGTAAACACTGRAAATCACTGCACAGAACAATACACTTGTCTCAGTCAGCAGCCCTGTACCCTGTTCCTCAGGTATTGCCTTTCTGTCCCCTTGGCAGGGCTCATATCTTTCCTTGCAGCCTATTTCTGAAAAGTCACTGCACACGAATGAAATTTCACCTCATGTCCGGGTGTCACAAGAATACTGTTGGCAGTTCTTATTCTGAAGTCATGCATGCTGGCTYGCGAAAATTCATTCCCAGGCTTTTTGTTTGTTTGTCTGGGGTTTCTGTACTGTGTCTGTGAACTGAAACATGCTTTCTTGGCTACAGCATTTATTCCTAGCTGACAAGAGACGATGCTGAACTAAGCCCCTGATCTGAGCATTGGCTTCAGCTCCACACTTTACCCACTGCTGGCTGCTGTCTTGGTTGAAGCTGACTCCTTCCTGATGGCCTGGCCCAAAGTCTTCCCCTTTGATGATCTGGAAGTGTCAGCCTGAGCTTCCTGGGGTTTGATAAAGACAATAGACTGGTACTCTCAAGGCAGATGCAAGATCTGTGCCTTCAGTTATTTCACAAGCCAAGAGGGGGAAAACTGTCCTTTTGGAGATGGCTCAGGGTGGAATTGTTGTCATTTGTGTCCCTCAGTACCCTCGAGCAAATAGTGTCAGCTGTGCAGCTCCTGGAAGAGGAGAAGATCTCTAGCATCCCTCTTACTCCTCTGGGCTTTCTGGCCATGTCATATCACAGGAAAACAAGCAGCTGGGGAAGGAAGGAGAGCTGTCAGCACCATCACAGCAAGACCCGTCTCTTTCCTTACCTCAGCTGTGCCAGCAGGAAAAGGAAGGGTTAACAGTTTAATGGTTCAATTAATGGACAAAGGAGGCAACAGGAATGTGAGAGATCTGGTGGAGCAAATAATATCCTCCTCTATTCCTGGGAAGTAGCAACAACACACATCTCCTGTCAGGAGTTGTGGGATAGCACCAGCTGCAGGGTCAGGGGTAGAGCTCAGTGGGCAGTGGGTTTACACATGGATGCTAGATCCAGGGAACACTCAAGCTGTGGAGAGATTATTTGCCGTAATTTTACTCAGGAAAAGATTTAATGTGCAGAGTGGGAAGGACCTGGCTGGTCTGAGAGTGACCACGGCTTTGGAGGTGGAACTGCCATCCCTCTGCCTGTCCTCCACAGACACCCTCAGACACTGCAGATGAAGCACAAACACACACACACACACACACGCACACACACACACACACATAGACATGTACAGATGAATGATTAGGACTTGCTGAAGCTAAAAAAACAACAAAAAAGCGCCACCTGAAAATACTTTCACACGAAAGCTACATGTGGTGCTCCTGTCTGCCTAACTCAGGTCTGTATTTCAAGCRTCAAATGAAGCTGTTCTCCTAAAGCACGGGTCTGCAGCACCTACCTATCCACTGGACAGAAGACCCTTTAACAGTCTCTAGGGACATGTCCAAGGATGTGATCCACTGAGCAAATCATAGCCAAATAAATCTGGTAAATGTCCAGCTTCTTCTTGGAAGCACCTAAGTGCTTAACCATCTGGGATTACTCTCCTTGATCACTGGAGAGAGATAAGGGCTTGAAGCCCCAGTGTTGGGATTCAAGATGACATTTTCATCTGATCAGATCACCCTAGGATGGTATCAGTGGGAACACACAGGGACAGTAGGTCCAATTCACTCATGCTGAGGAACTGTTTCAGATAAGACTGTGAATCATGGCCAAAAGGAGCCAG